CCGTACTCTGTCGCGGGCAGGGGGTGAGGCGAGGGGAGGAACCTGACTGAAAGGAGCCGGGCTTTGGGGGCGTAACCGAAAAGTGGGCAGAGATGTGCGGGGGGCCAGTAGAAGATGCAGGAGGTGGCAGCGACGGGGGAAGTGGGGCGTGATGCGGGGCGCCCTGCGAGGAGGACTGGTCCTGGGAGCAAGGTGCGAGTGGGCGCAGGACGCCTGCCTCGGAGGGGGGAGGGGCGTCGGGGAGCGCCCGGAGGAGCCAACCATGTGTTGCTTCTCCAACTGGAGTCTGTCCCCGGCATCCCGCTGAACAGCGCTGGCGTTTCTATTCGCACCGCTTCACGTGCGCTTCCCTTTATGCCACCCGCCCCAGAGGCGATTTTATCCGAGCCGTTGGAATAAAGTTCGCTTGACGGCGTACACGCCACTCGTCCCCACATTCCTCTCTGGGAGGCTCAGAAGAGTTGTATGTGCCCAGATCGTGGACCTCCTTAATATGGCGCCATACAATCGAGTGTGTGTGTGTGTGTGTGTGTGTGTGTGTGTTGTCCATTTGTCCCTACTTCATGCCTTCTCCCCTACCCCCATCCCCCAAGGCTGTTTAGGGCATTGCCAGCCAACGTGGCAGTGGGGGAGAGGGCTACAATCAGCCCACTGTGGCCAGCACCTCACACCCCGCTTTCTGAACAGCTCTGAAGAAGGTGTCTTGATAGCTTGCTGTGGTGAGTGTAGGGAAATAAGGGAGGAGCAAGAGTAAGTAACCTTGCTTTCACACTCAAAGCTGTGAGCAGCCGCATGAATGCAGGCCGGTTAGCAAGGGGAAAAGAAACCTACTTGCACGAGGAGGTTGGCAGTAAGTTGAAAGTGAGGCTTGCATTTGATTTGCACCAGATGTGAAAAGATCAGAGCGCACTTACAGAGTCTCAGAGTCTGTACCACATGTACAAACGTCGCGGTCCCTGCCATCTAAGGGCTCATGGCATCCTCCGAACCAGACCAGACACTGGAGATTTCTGTGATTACTAAGCACACACCCCTCCTGAAAATAGAGCTGTTATCGCTGCCTTGCTAGGTAGGCACAGGATTTGGAAGGATCTTGGAGGTGGAAACCACCCCATCCCATCCCCGCCCAGTCTCTCTGGCCCTCAGTGCAAATGTTAGCAGCACATTTTAGAGCGCAGAAACCTTGTCGAATCTGGTAGCAAGATGGTGACCAAGTAGTGAAGGCATGTGCAGAATCCACCCGGTGTAGAGCAGGACAATGCTCAGACAAACTCTTGCCTCTCATGAGTTGTAGAGCAAACCACAGGACTGCAGACCTGTTGGTTTTGTTTGGGTTTCCTTGGAACCAGGGAGATTAGAAGAGCAAGGACCAGACTCTTTGCTCACATGCATGAGCAGCCCCAGGAAACCAGCCTGTGCCATCGCGGCTGGGGATCTCGGGCAAGCCCTCTTTTAAGTGCCATTATTTTATGTCTGCTGCAGAACTCTTGTAATCTTAAAAGGGTAAACGAACAGTGGTGGGTGCTGGGGAAGGGGGAAGGGTGTAAGCGTCCGTGTTCTGTTTACAGGGCGAAGTGCTCCGAGTTACTGGTGAAAACATAGGAAGTTGGATCGGGCTAATAAGACACCGGTATGTTGAGAAAGGATCTCGGAGGCATTCATATGACTCTTGCCTGCTGGATAGCGGGATTATCTGTTGATTTTCAGCAAAGCAGGCCAGAGGAGAGGTAAAAGAAGGAGAGTAGCTGGAGCGTATGCACGTCTTTGTAGCTGGCCATCCCACGGGTGACCCTCAGTGTGTGTTCTGACTCTGCCCATTCCTTGGCCTTGAGAAGTGGCAGGAGTGGTTTGTAGACTGGCTAGTGGGATATATGTGATAGAGGTGAAACCCTAGCAGTAATAAAACCTTTGCATAGCATGAGATTGCAGAAACCTAAATTGTCAATCCAGGGTTCTGCTATTTAGTAGCAACTGGCCTGGTAGCATATTGGTTACCCTTTGGGCTGCTCATCTTCATTCAAACCCACCAGCCGCTCCTCAGGAGCAAAACAGGGCTTTCTACTCCCATAAAGAGTTACAGTCTCGGATACCCACAGGGGCAGTTCTGTCCTATAGGGTCCTTATGAGTTGGAAATGACTCGATGACAGTCAGGTTGGTTTTTGGAGTTTGTCCTTGAGGAATTGCTTCTGTGCCTCAGCTCCCTCTTCTGTAAACAGTGGATAATAATACTAACAGTGAATAGATTGCTAGTGCCTAGCACAGTGCCAGGCACACTGGTGGTGCCATGAAAGTACTTGCTGCTACTCATACCATTCATTGTTGTCCCCTCCCTTAGCCAAGATGAGAGCACCGTTGGCCAGAGCCCATTCCCTTTGCAGGCTTCAAAGAGCAATCCCAGATTGGTCTGAAACCAGTACTGCAGGTTTCAGGATCCCAGAGCCTCCCTCTTGCCCTTGCATTCCCTCATCGTTTAAGAGGAGCTTTCCAAGCAGGGCTGGGAAACGGAACCGTCGAAAAAGGCTTGTGAGCCAGGACTGGGTGTCCAGAACAGCCGCTGTTGGTTACCACTGCTGCTCTTCCCCATCCCAAAGTGATGCAAGAAGTGGGGAACCCCCTCAGGACTGGCCAGTTATCTCCCTACCACACACCCTGCTGTGTTCTCCACAAGATACAGTAAACCCTGTGAAAAGGGTCAGGGTGTCAAGGGCAGGCTTACGTTGTGCCTGCCCTTGTCCATAAGGGATGGCTTCATCAAGGGAGGAGCGGCCTCATTTTTGTGAGCCTGGGCTAAGCATGAGGAAAATGAAGGGCAACTCTCAGAAAGCAAAGAGCCCCTGAGTGGGTGATGGAAACCCAGACTACGCTTCTGACAGCATTTCCCCGACATTAAATTCCCTCCTGGCTTGTATGTCAATTGGAGGTGGCTAACTTTTGGGTACTTCCAGGACAGTGAGAATAGAAAGGGGACGAGGAGGGGAACTCCGCCGGATTCCATTCTTGCCCAGCCTGTTTAAGTCTCTGTCTTCGTATCCCTTAGAGTATGTGCTTTCGTGCCCGTGAGTCCATCCCAACTCATCGCCCCACTGGGTTTCTGTGGCTGTCCTCTTGCTGCTCCCAAGTATATACACCACAAAGCACACACTGTTCCAGTAGTTTCTGCAAGAATGGTAACGTTGATTCCATTCTTCCAGATGTGAGACCACTCCCCTCCTCCTATTCGGCATTGTTCCTCCCCATGAACATAAACTTGGGCTCGCAGAGGTTCCTGTTCACTTGATCCCCGATAGATTGTCCTTGGAAGAGCACAGTGCTCAAAGCAGACAGTTTTTACTGGGTCAGCCCAACTATGACTGGGCTTTCAAAAGACTTCAGAAGGCGTTTTTTTTGCTTAAGCTTTAAAGAGTATCTCAAGGCAATGGTTTCAGGAGTTCGTTCCATCTTTGTGGCTCCAGGAAGTTCAGAGAATTTTAAATTCTGTTCTGTATTTTCCCCCTTTTGATCAAGATTCTTCTATAGAATCTTGGATCAAAAAGTCCACCCGCCAGTTCCCTCTGTCTGGTCTCACGGCAAAGGAAGCGGCAGCTCTGGGAGGCCATTAGCCACACACTCTGTATCTTCCATCTAGTGGTGACCCTCCTCCTTTTTCGGGTGCTCTGGGCAAATAGAGACCAGCTGTTATGCCTCAGATGGCAGCTGGTCAGCAAGACCTCCGGCACTGCACAGTGAACTAGGATACACATAATGTACCCTATGTGGTTGTACACAAGCCTAGGCTGGCGGAATGGTAGCATATTGCCAAGCCTTTTCTTGCAGGGTGAGTTTGGACCACTGACCTTTCAGGTAGCAGACAGGTACTTAACTGCCCCACTACCAGGGTTGCTTGCCTTAGAATGTGGGTAACATTTCATACTACTTTGCAAATGAATTCTCTAGTGGACCAGCCCCACTGGATAACCCTGTGCTGCTTTCCTGCCTCCTCCGGTCCACAGTGCCTTCTGAAGCTAGGAGTCAGTAATTAAAAACCTACAGGTCAAATCTGATCCTCTGCCTGTTTTTGTAACTAAAGTTTTATCGAACCAGTCAGTCACTGTGTTTCGATAAAGCTTTATTGGCAAGGCCATATAAGGTATTTTCTGTGGCTGCTGCCATACTCTAATCACAGAGGGAGCAGCTGTGATAAGAAACCATATGGCCCACAAAGCCTCAAATATCGACTGTCCCACACTTTACTGAAAAAGTTTGCCCAACCTTGTCTTAAACAATGCACCTGACCTTTACGCCTACATAAAGATGTTTCAGATATGTATTCTACATGCCCGTTTGCATAAAATCCTACAGCAATCAAGAAAACTATCCCATATCCTGACTCAAGTTTTAGGGCAGAGTGGGGCCACCTGCTTCCAGCAATTCTCCATCTCTGTGAAGGTCAGCGTGTGTGGTGGATCCAGGTTCTCCTCCGCAGGCTACCTCTGCCACTGTCTGGTGACACAGGCTTATGTAAATTCTGCTTTACATGAAAGCTGAATGGTTAAGTGAATTTGTCCTTCACCCCTTTTATGCCCTTGTAGCTCCTGTTTTGGGTTTTCCTTGTTATCTTTCTGTAGTACCTTTTATTCTTCTGAATAGATCACTGGTAGCTGACAGTTGTTACAATTGCCCCGAAATACTGTCTACCCCACGGGAAGGACGCCAAAAACACCCCACCCACTGCCATCAAGCCGATTCCAACTTACCGTGACGCTGCAAGATAGTAGAATGTTCCATAGGGTTTCAAGACTAAATCTTCTGGGAGTGGACAGCTTCCTCTTTCTTCTATGAAGCGAGCCCGGGGGTTTGAACCACAGGGCTTCTTATAGGAAGGATGGTGTATCAGATGTTGGTTAGATTGCCACTGGAAGGAATATAAGGCAGTGTTGTTATCACTCATGCTGTCGGACATTACGAAGCTCCTTTCCTTGGAATGCCTTGAAAACTCAGTCCTTGGGGGTAGGTGTTGAAATAGAGAAGTTCATGAAGGCGGTTGCTTCTCAGAGCCCCTGAGAGTAAACTCACCCACTAAACCATTGTCCTTCTGTCAGCTGGTGCCCGAAACAGCCCCAGATTAGACTCGAGTCTGATCTTTCCATGCCAAGGAGCTGCCTTGCTATAATGTGGCTTGGGGGGTTGCAGTTAAAATCCTTTCAGAGCTACAATTGTCCTTCCAGACCTGTGATTGAGGCAACTTCTGTTTGGGCATTTCTCTGTCTGACCCTGTGCACTGTTGCTTTTGCGCTCCAGGCCCCCCCACGGTAAAGATCACCCAGGAAGAATCTTGACTCTTAAATGCTATCACCCACTGGTGACATCTTTGAAATAAATGGGAGGCCCCTTTGCGCCACTACTGTGTCTCTTCGCATTGGTACCTAAAGGAGTGTGGGTCCAGGGGTGCAGTGTTTTGGATGGCAAACCCCTTTCACTTACATAACAAAGATCCAGGAGATGTAACCTTTTGAGGTCCCTCGAGGAGGAGGTCAGCGCACTATGAGAAGTTCTCTGGGTTCTAAACGTAGGTTTCGAATAAGACTTGAGGCGGGGTTCCAGGGCTGTCGCAGTCCTGGCAGTTGGAATGCTGTCAAGGTGGACGGTGGGCTTCCGCAGCCAGCCAACGCCTCACTTGCATTTCTGCTAGTTTAAAATGAAGGGGGCGATGGGGCACCATTTCCTTGACTTTGGAAATAGACTTCTTCCTATGCCCGGCCCCCCACCCCCACCCCAGTGAGTCTCTCCCATCCCCTGGTCCTAGAGCCTCTCGCCAAAGGAGCCAGGCTGCAGGGTGGGGCGGGTCTGGGTTTGGGCTCTTCCTGACACTCTAGGTCAGATGATGTCGTGTTTGACTCGCCTTCCCTGCGCTTCCTCTTGCTCCATATGCAGTTTGGAGCCCTTTTGAGGGGCGAGCAGAGAAAACCTCGAGTTTCCTTCCCAGCTCAGTGAAGGTGGGTCCCCACCAGCAAGGTGGTTGTGAATGGGAGTGGACCAGCTCTTTGGAAGCTCATGAGTTCTAGCCCCATCTGGGATGGCTGGCAGCCCCACCCGGTCATGGGTGGGAGCAGGGGAGTATGGGAAATGTGGTTACTTCCCCACCTCTGCTGGAGTTGGATCTTCACAGAGGCCCGCACTCCTTCGTTTTCACGGTTTTGAACGAACCCAACTTTAGTCCAGTCTTGTTCCCCTGTGGTTGGAGCTCCCCGGGGCGGGGGTGGGGTGGGGGGGTGAACCGTTGATTCACTTGGGCCGATAACAACAGCTGAAAGGGTGGAATCCAACTTTTAGAAGTGCCTTGGGAGAAGGGCCTGGCGGTCTCCTTCTACACAAGAATCAGCCTGTGGAGCCCCGTGGAGGACAGGTTTACTGTGACATGCATGGAGTCACCCGGAGTCACCCTGGTGGGGCAAAGACAAGTCCTAAGCTCAGGTCTTCTGTGAAGAGCTCCCATTATGCTTGGAGTTTGTAACTTCTCTGCTCTGGTTCTTCTCCATTAGCATGGAGCCTGGTTGTTGGGAACAGCTGTCTGGCGGGAGGGTCTCCTGCAGCTGGCTTCTGCCCGCAGGTCCCCACTGCGCCTCCTGGTTTTTCAAACTTGTCCTGGCACTTGGCTTCGGCCTCCACACTTCAGGTCAAGATTCACTACACAGCTGAATGCCCAGCTTCAGAATCATTTCAATGTTTATCCTCAGGCCTGAATAAGCCTCACTTGACTTTTACTGTGTGGGAGCACCACAGCCCATCAAGGGTAGCGCTAACCAACTTGAAAGAATACTACCAACGGGGACTTCATAATAGGAAAACTTCTCTGCAGCCCCTGGGGAGCCTGGAAGCGCAGACCAGGCCGTGTACCGGCCCTGCCCCGGCATACCCGTTCCGAGTTTGCTCCCGGGCCCCAGACAGCTGACACGGGGGTGGATGGAACGCCTTTGGCCCAGCCCTGCCTTTGAAAGAGCAGTTCATGCTTCCAGCCGCCTAGGGAGAGGGGTGGAAGTGGAGGGAGGCCCAGACAACTCCTCTGAGGGCTTGGTTGATCCAAAGCAGCAGGCCGGAGTGCTGGAGCTGGGTGTTTGCTCTCAGGGCTGCTTGGATGTGGCTCCTTCAGAGCAAGGCCAGGACTTGGCCAGGGTGGGGTAGTAAGTGTCGGATGCCTCTTCGCTCACGCTGAGCTTGGACCTCTCCTGCCAGTGGTGTGTGTGACTCTTCTGGAGGGGAGCCATGTTGTCAGGGAGCAGCCTGGTCCACCCCCGTCTGACTCCCCCTACCACCCTTGGAGTCAAAACCCCACACCACACAACACTGCCACCAAGTCTGTTCCGACTCACAGGGACCCTGTAGGACAGGAGGTCTCCAAGGCTGCAGATGCCCCTGGCTAGCTGCTGAGCACTGTTAACCACTGTGCCACCAGGACTCCTTAAAGGGCACTGGGGGATGAGCTGTCCACCTCTAAAAGTAGGCAGCTAACACCTCAACAAGAGAAAGGCCTAGAATCCAGCTAGAGGAGGCATCGCTGAAGGAAAACCAAACTGGGCTGCCAAGGAGTCAACGCTGACTCGCTGGACCCCATAGGACAAAGAACTGCCCTATGGCTTTCCAAGGCTGTACATCTTCCCTGCGGCAGAAAGCCTCCTCTCTCTCCCATGGAGCGGCTGGTGGATTGGAACTCCTGCCCTTGTGGTTAGCAGCTCAGCGCATAGCCCAGGACACCATGGGCTCTTCGCAGAGGCATAGGGGGAGGGAATGGTCAGTGGTGGGGGCAGGGGACTTAATTAGATGAGATGTTTTGAAAAGGTTTTTTAAAAATTGGCTAGTGTACTATGCTCCCTAAGGTGGAATGATGTTTTTCTCTCTCTCTCCTCTCTCTTCCTCTAAAAAAGTGATACCGACATAGCCTTGTCTCGGACCTCTTTAGTCCCCCTGGCCCCATCCTGGAAATGGTATGGCTTTTTTTTAAAGAGGTAGGCGGCCCTGCCCTGCAGTGTGAACAGATTGGAGTGTTGTTGCAGGAGGAGAGCCATGTTCCATAGACACTTGTTGGATCACATGGACCTTCCCCCGCCAAGCTCACTTGTAATGACCTTTCTCACTTCTGCCCCCCCCCCACGCTAATATCCCCCTACAATTCCTCAACTCAGCAACTCCCACCTACTATGGCTCCAGACGCCCTCCCTTTCCAGCACTGGCCTCCTACCCAGCCTGGCCATTGGGCTCAAAGCCCAGTTGGTGGCAGGACCTGGCATTTCAATGGATGTCGCAGCTTGGCCTGTAGGTGCTCAAGCCGCACCCTTGAAGCCAGGGAGAGAGCTTGGGCCAGGACCCGGTTGATTCATGGAAACAGACAAGGTTTAGGATTCTGTGAAACAGACACACAAACAACATTTGTTTTAAAGCTATACTACCTGGCTTTCAGTGGAGGAGTGACTGTGGGTAAGAGGACCAGGGCCCCAAGATGGACTTGTACCAAAGTCCTCGTGCGTGGTGCTGTATCGGATAGCAGGGAGAAGCCAGGCAAGAACATTGCCACTGGTGAGGCTTCCCCTACCGGGCCGTTGGTGGGTGGCTTTAGAGGTAGGATCCGGCTGGAAGCCACCCTTTTCCCCAACCAGGACCATCGCAGGATGCCAGGCACTGCTGTTCCTCCTCCCCCTCCCACCAGATGGGAAAATGCTAGAATCAGATTGCTCATCCCCCATTCCCCAGGCCCTGGGCCCACACATGGTCACACCCAGAGTTCAGCTCCCTGGCCTTTCAGGTTGCCAACCAGGGGTGTGGGGGCTTGGGTCCAGGTTGTTTCATAAACCACCCTGGCTGAGTGTGACTTTAATCAGAGTACAAATCCCACCTCCGCTCCACTCCCTTTGCTTCAGGAGACTGGTGTGCGTGTTTGTTCGCCCACAGGGCTCGGACAGAACCACCGCTGACTACACGTGCACTCCCTGCCCCACAGCTGCAGGCGGGCTGAAAACCTGCCACGCATGCCCCCATTTGGGGCTGTCTTTTTAACTCCTGCCCATCAGATACGGTGCACAAACTGGGACCGAGGGGGGCAGGGGTGGGGAGCATTTGGCCCAGTATAGGGGAAGCCACCAGAGGGCTCTGACAGCATTCTGTGGTGTGGACTTGGAGACTGGGAGAGAACAGGGCCCTGGAGTGGCACCCGCGAGGTTCCCACACGCTCATGACTCAGAGAGCGGGCTCCTGGGCCCTCCTCACTAGGACCGGGATCCTGGGTGGTTCTGGATCGCATGCCCCATGCTTGGTGGTGGGAGGGCTGCTTGGTGCAGGTGGCTTTGCTTCATGATGAGGACAACATAGGAGGCCCCCTGGGGTGACCGCCTGGCACACACATCCTTCTGAGGGAAAAGAAGCCTGTTGTACCCATGATGCCTCAGCCTAGGTGGGCTGGGAGTGGGGTCATCGTGACATAGGCGAGACTCCTTCTGCCACAGGGAGGTGTCCCATGACAGGGCAGCAGGGTCGTGAACTCCAGAAGGCTCCATCTAGGGCAGTGGTTCTCAACCTTCCTATTGCCACGACCCTCTCATACAGTTTCTCGTGGGGGTGGACCCCCCCCCCATAACATTATTTTTGTTGCTACTTCATCACTGTCATTTTCCTACTGTTAGGAATAGGACGACCCCTGTGAAAGGGTCATTTGACCCCCAAAGGGGTCTCGACCCACAGGTTGAGAACCACTGATCTAGGGGCTGGATGTCACGAGAATTTTCAAACCCTTGAGAGGGTGGTTATGGCAAGCTCTTACCACCCAAACAGGTTTTGTAGAGAACAGTTTTCATGTATAATAATGGTGTTTATGTGGCCCCTCTGTTTCCCAGTTAATTCCCAACCACACCTGAAAACAATCCCATTTCAACAAATACTGAAACACTGATTCTCTCTAATAAAGCTATTTCCATGGCTCCTATAAATGCTTTCTTGTTTTGTGTCTCTGTGATTTTTGTTGTTTAAAGGAAGAGAGGGAGGAGGTGGAGAGAGAGCAGCAGTCTGCTGTAACAAGTGCTTTATCTGGTCCCTGTCTGTCGTCCTGCACGCCGCTAAGCCAGACCCCTCTGGAGTGTTCGCTGTTGCCCTTGGAGGCGGGGAGAAGGGAGCTGAGCTGTGGACGCATCACCAAATAGCAGCACCCCTGTCTGCTTTTTCTTCGCTTCGAACCTCCCATCCTTGAAAACCTCCCTGTTCTTTGCAAGGAGACCACCAGACAACAGCCGGCAGAGGAGCGTATGTGAGTGTGCGTGTGCATACGCGCTTGAGCATGTGGGTGTCTTGAGTGAGAATGTAGGAGAGAGAGAGAGAGCGTTACACGAGAGAAGGCAAACAAAGCAAGCAGGGGGAATGAGAATAGTAGGCCGACCTGCATCAAGGTTGCATGTGCTTTTTGTATACTGTTTTTATTTTTGCATGGACAAACTTGAAATTATTTCCCACTAAAAGTTATAAAAATAAATATATGCTAGACTCATTTGACTGTATCCGGAACTCTGGAGAGTGGGAATTTTGGGCTCTTATTCATCATTATAACCTCTCTTGTTCTCTCCCATTTAACAGAACATCTGAAACATTAAGTGGCTTATCTGAGTCCATGTACCACATTGGGGCACAGACAGGATTTTGGTTCAGGTATTTGCCACAGTAGGCCACCTCTCGGGAAACTTCCACTTGACCCCTCTCTTGGACAGGGACAAGCCTGGTGTCAGGTTCTGAGAACTCACTGGGTACCTACCGCTGTGTGTCCGAGCTCAGGCCATGGCCCAGCCACCCAGCAGGAGCCCAGCAGGTTTGCAGCTGTCTGCTGAAGGGCACGGAGCAGACTCAGGATGTCCAGGTTTCTTCTGGGGAACAATGCTTTCTCCCAAGAAACACTCTCCCAGGCTCTTCACTGAACTCTCTTCATGAAATGCAGGACAGGAGAACGCCCCTTTGCACCAGAGTGAGGGCACTTATATGGAGCAGAAATCCGGGAGGAAAAGAGGTTGAGTTTGGTGTAGGTAGCCATGCTGGGTGCTAGCCTGGGCCCATCAGCTTTCCTGTGCTCTGGACAGCCAGTCCGTTGTCTACCGGTCTTGTGAGGAGGGTGGTCGGCCTGGTTCAGTGCAGCACACCTGGCCAAGTGTTACAACTGGATACTCAAAAGGATGGCTCTTTTTTTTCTTGTTAGATGTCAACCTGTTGCAACCCCGTGTACAACCCAAGGCACACCGCACGGTCCTGCGCCATCCCCACAGTTGTTGCAGCCACTGTGTCGAGCCATCCCATCGAGGGGGGTGGCTTACACTTTCTCTGTGATTCCACTTGACCAAGCATGAGGTCCTTCTCCAGGGACTTGTCCCTCCTGATCACATGTCCAGAGTATGTGAGACGAAGTCTCGCCATTCTTAACTTCTAAGGAGCATTCTGGCTGTACTTTCCCCAAGCCAGGTTTGTTTGTTCTTTGGGCAGTTTTCTTCAACACTGTAACTCGAATGCCTCAGTTCTGTACTCTTCCTTATTCACTGCCCACTGCCCTGGCGAGGGAGGTGACTGGAAGTACCACGGCTTGGGTCAAGTGCATCCTAGTGCTCAGTGGCACCTTTCCTTTTGAACACGTTCAGATAGACGTGCCCCTTGTGATACAGCGTTTGTACAGCGTTGGATGTGATGCACCCTTTGACTGCTGCTTCCATGCACAGTGGCTGTGGATCTATGTAGAGTGGAATCTCTGACAGCCTCAGTCTTTTCTCCATTTGGTGTGATGTTACTTACTGATCCAATCGTGAGGAGTCTTGATTCTGTGAACGTGGATGTACACTCCGTACCGGAGGCTGGAGGCTCTTATCTTCAGGTGTAAGCGCTTCACTTTGTCTCCGCTTTGAGTAAGCAAGGTGGTGTCACCTGCACATCTTACGCTGCTAATGACGCTTCAGTTCCCTTTGTTCTCGGTTGAATGACTCCCTCTTGGTGTTTGTGCAGCTTCTGTGTGAGCAGAATTAATTATTCTGGAATTCCCATTCTTCATAATGTTATCTGTGGTTTGTTGTTGTTCACACAGTTGAATGCCTTTGCATGGTCAATAAAACGAAGGTGAACAGCTTTCTGATGTTCTCGGCTTTCAGCCTAAAGAAATCTGACATTAGCAATGATAACCTTAATTCCATGTGAACGTGGCTTGGATTTTTATGGATTGCAGCCCAATGCATAACCATCATGCCACCAGGGCTCCTCTCTGGCTTGGATTTTTAGCAGTTCCTGTTAACGTGTTGCTGTAACTATTTATGGTTTATCTTCAGCAACATTTTACTAATGTGTGATGTTAATGATATTTTTTCAATAATTTCTGCATTCTGTTAGGTCACCTTTCAATGGAGTAGGCAAAAATGTGGATCCGTTCCAGTCAGTGGGCCAGGTAGCTGTTTTTCAAATTTCTTGTCACAGATGAGGAGCTCTTTCAGCTTTGCACCCATTTCTTAACTGTCTCAGTTAGTGTCCCATCAAAGCCTGAGGTTTTGTTTTCACCACTGCCTTCAGGACAACTTGGACAGCTTTTGGGCCTTGGTTCTTGACCCTGTGCTACCTCCAGAAATGGCTGAACCTGACCCATTCTTTCCAGTGTGGTGACTCTGTGTATTCCTTCCGTCTTCTTTTGATGCTTCCTGGGCCAGTCAATATTGTGTCCATTGAATCCTTCAGTAGTGCAGCTGGAGGCTTGAATATTTTACTCACGTCTTTCCACTGGAGAAATGCCGGGTGTGTACTTCCTTTTTGGTTTTCTACCTTCAGGTCATGGTGCATTTCGTTATAATACTTGACATCTTAAGTCAGTGAAAACCTTCTGTTAACCACAGGCCCCAAAAAAGGATGAATCTCACCACTGCGCAGAAAGAGGGTCAGACACTGCTGTCCCCCCAGCCCCTTCTCTCTTGCCCAAACCACATGTTGGGCATCTGTCTCTGCTCCTTGAAGGCACTTGACTTACCCTTTGTAATTTTCACTTATGCATGATCTTCCCCCCAGCTGCCAGAATTTGGTAAGTGAATGAGTCGTGCTCTACTTTTTAACATAGAAGTTGCATTCTTCAGAAATGTTTTCCCCTTTGTGTGAAATGCCTGACTGACGGGAGTTACCCTCTCCCGATTGTGGTTACATTGTCATCAAAGGAAGGTTGTTCATGGACTCTGGCCAGTTGTATGAGCACTTGTTGATTAGTGCCCTAACTTATACATTTAGATGGGTTGTCCTTAGAGATTGTCCAGTTATAGCTGGGCGGTCCCCCCTATTCTGATTCTTTACTTCCAGGACTTTGCTCTGTCCTGCCCCAAAGTAAGTAGCAGGTGGATGACGACCAGAAATGGGGACAAGTTGCAGAAGGATGAGGAAACCACCCCTAAATTCCTGCTGGATTGTCTGCAATTTAGAGGTGTGTGTTGGAGCTGCGGCCCCTGATGACCAAAGCCGTCTGCTTAGAGAGACCATGACAATCAGGCCTCTCTTTACCTTCCAGTTCTTAGGGGCCTGACGAGAAGGCCTTGGTAACTGACATCTCAAACTGGACCAGATTAATTCTATTTTTGCGTCAGGAGGATAGTCTTTTTCTCCACCTGACGTCATAAAGGAGATGAGATGACCATCAACTAGCTCCTGGTATACGAGCGGATATGAAGCTCCATCATCTCCCGGGGAAGGTGGTGCTCCTTGCCCTCCTGGCTCTGAGAGCACCTGTGGAGAGGTGTCAGGACCAGCTTCCTCCTGCTGCGAAGCCATCAGCTGTCCCAGGGTTGTACCCAGGGTAGGAAAAACGCTCTCTGAGCTCTTTCTGGAAGCACCATTGTGCCTGACTTCCAACGAGGCTTTCCCTGGAGGCAGGGCCTACCTTGGAGCCTCCCTCAGGAACTCTAAACCAGCCAGCAGGGGCTGCCCTGGAGTGGTGCCCAGCACACATGGGGTTTTTCCACAGCTAGGGCACAGCACGGGAACTCGCCAGTGATTTGAGGTCAGCCTGGAGCCCTTCCAGAATATTGGTGGCCTGGTAGGAACCACTGGATGGTACACAGTGACCTCCTAGGCGAAAGCCCCCCTTTGGGATTGGGAACGTGGAGTAACACTTGAGTAAAGAGGTGGAGGTAGAGAAGACTTCCTGCAAATGAGGCAAGATGCTTCACGGAAATGTTATTTTTTTATACATAATTTTATTGGGGGATCTTACAGCTCTTATAACAGTCCATACCTCAGCTGTATCAAGCAGAAGTTTTCAAGGGTGTGAAGGTTGGGCAGTGTAACCCTGATAAGGGGTCCCACTGCCCAATCTTACTATTGAGACCCTGAAGCAGGACCTTGAATGGCTTTTTCCTGGTTCTGTCATGGCCGATGAAGCGACCCAGAAAGGAACACACATTTGTAAAATGGTACCAGAGCAATCGATGGAACGGGGAAGATGACAGATCAATACCCTCCTATAACGCACTCTTGAAAAGCAAGAGCTGTGTGCGCAGCCTGGTCTCTTGATGGTTAGACCTGGAAACAGTGCTTCCCCACCTCCAGGATGGCATCCAGGATGGTTACTCTCCGCCGTCCTGGCAGCGATCCTCTCTCTTGGATCAGGGCTTCAGAAAGGGCTCGCTGCCTGTTCCAGGCTCTGGCTCATCGTCTCTCCAGCCCCCGTTACCGTTTGGCAGTACCCACATTTTCCAAATTCAGCTCTGTTCTGATGTTGCTTTCGGCCACGGTTCAAGCCTGTTCAAAGCTCTTCTCTGAAGCAGAGCAAATTCTGTGGCTGTGACCCTCCTGGCCCAGAGGAGAATCTAGTGCTCCTCGCCTCAACTTACACCCAGAGTTCAAGGGACCAGAGTCAAGGTTAAATACAGAGTCCTGCTGAATTCCCACTGAGTGAGGTATGACTGGTGAGCAAACCTGCTGGGCTCTGATGGCTACTCAGGGATACGCTCAGCTTGCCCAGTCATGTGACCAGACTGCAGCTTTTAAGTGCCATTGAGTTGGTTCCAACTCTGTGCACAACTGAACAGTGGTGGCTACTCTGGGGCCCATTGCTAGCAGCCATGATGTCAATCCATGTCCTTGAGGGCCGTCCCCTCCTTTGCTGCCCTCCATTTTGCCAAGCATGATGTCCTTCTCTAGGGACTGGTCTCTCCTGACAACATGTCCGAAGTATGTGAGACAAGTCTCGCAATCCTTGTCTCTAAGGAGCACGCTGGCTGTACTTCTTCCAAGACACATCTGTTTGTCCTGTTAGCA